TTTGTGTGAGAAACTGGTTGATATTTCGGGTACTTGGCATCTACTATTATTCCTCACAAGTCCCTTGTAAGTGTCTGTGAATTCCTTCTTGAAAGAAACAGGCCAAATAGTAAACACACATTTTTTAATTATAAACATAATCTTTATTAATATTTACATATGGTTCCATAAACAAAGTTCACACAAAAAAAACTCTCAAGAATCATATGTATATGATACAAATTTCAGGAATATAATCTTATTACTTCTGATAAGTACATTATTTTAAAGATTAAAATCCAACAAATGTAGAAGTTGAAGGGGAAGAGAAAAATGATGACAACAGATTACTTGACTTTTCTTCCTCCCACATATCTAAAACATCACATATACCACTGTGTATATGTTTTCAGTGTAACTTGTAAAACCCAAGAAATCTGATTTCTCCCCACATGTCTGAAATAAGTCGAGTGAAAACTGTACCGGTGGGCTACAAATTCCGTCTTCTTCTTGTGCAGTAAGAAAGTTCTTTTTAATCCAATTCAGCATTTGGTTCCAGATTTTCTTTTTTATTTTGCCCTAATAATATTCTCACCTTCCAATGGATTTTACCAGAAGGCAAACTATCCACAGCCTCGACATCACATTCATTGGGTTCCTGAGGACTATAGGGTTGAGTTTTGATCTTCACTGTTAGGTATTCTTTTGACATGTTTACTGTTACCAGATCAAAATCATGATCAAATAGTGAACGAAGGTCCAAGGAAACACACATAATTTATAAATCAGGAAAAATCATGGAATAGGCTCTTAGGCCAAACTGCCTAACTTGAACCCTGATCTACCACTTAATAGCTGTGTATCTTTAAACAAATTGCTTAATCTCTGTATGCCTCAACGTGTATAAAATAAGGCTAATGTTATTCATAGCGGGAATTTAAGAAGGTTGGGCAAGGATTAAACAAGTTTATAGATGAGAACCATTTAACACAAGACCTAGCATAAGTCTACGTGAAATAAATGTTGCAAGCATTGCTACAATTATTATTATTGAACAGTGTAAAAACTATCAAAAAAGAGACTGGAATTCTAGTCTTGAGTCTACTTATAATCTAAGGTGGTTTTCTTTTTTGTCTTTTATTTGTTTGTCAACTAGGAGAAAAGAGAAAGTGTTCAGTTATCTTTAAAACACTAAAATATTGTGTGATTTATTCAATCACAATGTAGTGAGTGTGTCCTGGAGGGAGAGGATATTAATTCAGGTTTTCATTGAGCACCTAATAGTCACCAGGCACTGTAAAAGGTACTATTTGCCAGGGTCCACAAAATAAAGTGATTCAAGTCAAAATATATTAAGAGAGCTCCTAACTATGTGAACTGGATCTCGTCCCTCTGCCCTTCTCAGGTGCTGAGTCCAGAGACATGCGAAGTACATCAGAGTCACAGCAGTAAGGGGTAACAAACCATACTAAGATTATGAAAGGAGGATGTCCTAAAGTACTATTTACAAAGGGGAGGGCAGAGTATTGCAAAGCTAAAAAAAAAAAAAAAGGTCCTGGGTTTTAAAATAAACTTAGGATTTGATTTTTTCCCTTTTTCTATATTTTTAAGATAACATTTTTATTAATTCTTTGAGAATTTCCTACAATACATCTTGATCATATTGCTCCCCCTCCTCCAACTCCTCCCAACTCACCCCCATACCTCCATACCCAGCCAACTTCACATCTTTTTGCTTTTTAAAGCCCATCAAATCCAATTTGTGTTGTCCAAACACTATTGGGTATCCAGCCATTCCCAGGAGCATGGGTGACCTAACAAAAGGTCACACTCTTAAAGAAAACTGACTCTTCCTCTCCCAGCAGCCATCAATTACCAATAGCTCCTTGGCTGGGAATGGGAATTTGTGCCCACCTCCACTCTCCACGCTGGGGTTTTTTTGGGCTTGAGCTTGTACAGGTCTTTACCTGCTATCACAACTGCTGTGTTTATTTGTGCATCTACTCTATTGTGTTCAAAAAAATAGTGTTTCATTATAGTAATCCACTGCCTCTGGCTATTATAATTACAACTCCTCTTCCATGATGATCCCTGAGCCATAAGAGAAGGGGTGTGATATAGATGTCCCATGTAGGGCTGAGCAAACAAAAGTCTCTTATTCTCTGAGCAGTGGCAAGTTGTGGGTATCTGTGTTTAGCCCCATATACAGAAAAAAGGCTTCTCTGATAAGGGTTGAGAGATACACAAATCTATTGATATAATGATAAGTCATAAAGAGTCAATTTAATACTATGTCTATTTAGCAGAACAGTAACAACTGGCTTTCCCCTAGGGTCTATGACCTATCCAGCCACAGGCTATTGGCCCAGGTATGGGTCCAATCTTGTGAAGTAGGCCTTAAATCTAATTAGAAAGTATTTGTTACTCCAATAACATTCATGTCACTTTGCGCCAGTGAGTATGTCTTGACAAATTAGTTGTTACTGTAGCTTGCGGGGTTCAAAGCTGGGTAAGATTTATGATTATGTTTCTCTTCCAGTAGCATACATAGAAACTTCTAGTACTATAGCCAGTAGGGATGAAGTTTCTAGGACAGTACCATCTTGATTTCTCCATGTTCTATGATTCAAGTCACAGTCTCCTTAACTTCTTATGGTCAAGTTCCAGAGAGTAACCAAGAGCAGTGGTGATAATCTATAATGTTTGGGGGTCTATGGGATCAAACTCATTGACCAAAAACTCCAAAAGAGGTAAATCATCCCTGGTATTGGACTTTTTATTTGCTAACCTGTAGTGAATAGTAGGGGCATTGTTCCCTATTACAGGGTAATCAAAAGAGGACTAAGAAAAAAATATCACAACAAAATAACAGGAATTAGTACACATTGTTCAATAATAACTCTCAGTATTAATACTCTCACTTCCCCAATAAAAAACACAACCTGAATTAGAAAACAGGATACATCTTTTTTGCTGTCTTAAAGAAACACAGATCACCATCAAAGATAGACACAACCTTGAATAACAGTAAGGTAAAAGAATATGATAAGCAGTGATATAAATGGAAAAATGGGAATAATGTAACAGGAAGTGTTAAATGGGGTGGGGTATGGGAGGGTACAGTATAGGAGGGAGTATGAGGAGGGATAACTAACACTAAAGGACTTTTATAAAAGTCAAATGGAAACCTACTACTGTATGAGCTTCCTAAAAAATATGCATACACATATATAAAAAAGAGTTTAAATAAGTCTAGGGTATTGAACTCAGCTTTCCAGGTTTGGTAGCAGGCACCTTACCAGCTGAGCCATCACTGACCCCAAAGATTTTGTTTTTATTCAGGTGTAGTGAGATCAACAAATCAGAAGGTGATGGCAATGTGAAAAATAGTTCATTTCTCACAGTTAAGAAGGAGAACATGCCACACCACCATGGGACAAACAAGAAGCACAGGGTCAGTCAGCAAGCAGATGGAATAGGAGGAAATTGTGGGCAAGAGCTTTTAATGTTTTTCTCAGGAACGAGTAGGCAAGGCAGGGTTAGCCAGCACATTAGAATTAAGGTTGGTTAACTGGAATAATTTGGGGAGCCTCTGGGATATAGGAGCAAAAGAATCCTAAAATCTTGTCTTAGGGTGATATGGATCAGTGAACTCTGTCTCTGACTGGACTCCTCTGATCAAAGGAGGTAAGTAGATGTGTAGAGTTGGCATATCAAATGTGTGTACCTAGGCAAGTTCTCCTCTGCCTCTAGGAGTTACCTAGCTTGAAGAAAATCTCCCTCCTTGGGCTCAAAGGGCTCTGAGCTATCAATCATAAGATACAGTGAGTGAAAAACAGAATTAGTACACATCTCCAGATATGAAGGGATATGAAGGACGTGATCACCGCTACCCCAAAACAGAATCACAAAAACAGAGGCATACATTTTGGAGCTGTGGTTTGGCCCACGGTGTCCAGCATAAAAAGAGTGGGCAAGGGAAGTACATACCCCACTGTCTGACCTTTCCTGAAATGTCTTGTCCGAACTCCTATTGAAGAACCCAGTTAGAATCCAAAGGATAAGGAAAACCATTGCTGTGGTCCCTGCAGGTCCTGGGCAGAGAACAGGATGGAGAAGTAAAGACCAAGGAGTGGAGAAGGGACACAAAGAAGCCATCAGCACACAGCGGAATATCATACCCATAGCGGGAGATGCTGGGCCTGCTTTTACTTTAGTGGAAAACTGCAATGACTGGATAAGGGAGCAAAGAAAAACTGGGTTCAACATGCCCTAGAGGTGGGGTAGTCAAACATAAAAAAGGAATTGATTTCTCCATTTCAACCCCTTTGCTTCTTCCTTCCTTCCAGCACAAATGTGTGACACCATAGTGAAGGGCAGGTATGATTTCATTTATTTCCCTCTGGCAGGCTCTTTCATGAGCACATCCTTCAGGCACTCCAGGATATTTAAAAGCTATTGTGTTCCAAGAACTGCTGACCTCATCTCTGTTGCCAGGAAACCTGCTGCAGACTGAACCATCTGAGCACTCACGTCATTGCTGTCCCCAGATGATCTGAGAGAAAGTTGGAGGGGCAAGGGTGGAGAGGACACTGACACCTATGGTCAGACCAGAATGATCTGAACCAGGTTCCAGCTCTGCTCCAGCAGCTCAAATGAAGAGCTGCAGGACAAACTCACAGTAGGCCATTGAGGCAGCAGGGACACTGCTGTTTAATAATCTTCCCAGAAGCATGCTATGTGCTCAACTCTATGCACAGCTCATGCCCTTCTCATAACGAATCATGAGAAGACCAAAACCAACCAACAACAGTGCAGTGCACACAATCATAGAACTCCAAACCTAGGCTGTTTGGGAGACATGAGCGAAGGCACCAAGAACTGATCAAGCTAGACTATGATGCAATTTTTTTCTTTGAAGGACAGCAGAAAAACAATCGTATTCTTTGTATATATAATGCACAGATAGACATATAATACATTAAGTGTAGAATTTTACATGTCATTAAGATTTCATGGGGGTACTTACCTGTCAGGGAGGATACCATGATCATGAAGGTGTTTTATGCAGGGCAAGACTCATCCATTGCACTTAGGATGGGCTGACCCCCACAGTTTTCTCAAATGTGGGGAACTCAACTGACTGCATAATTCATAGTGGGGTAGTAGGTTCAAGTTCTCCACTAGAGAAAAATAATATGTCATGGGGAAAAGGACATTTAGGAAAGGAAATAATTCAAAATGGCTTCTCAATGCTGGAATAATTAAAGACTGAAGAAAAAAGGGGCCTCAAGTGAGACTGAATTCTAGCTCTGTCCCTTTTAGATTTGTGTGTGTGTGTGTGTGTGTGTGTGTGTGTGTGTCTGTGTCTGTGTGTGTGTCTGTGTGTGTGTCTGTGTGCGTGTGCACTCAGCGCTGGGACTGCAAGCAGGTGCCACCGGGCCTGGCTTTTTATGTAGGTTCTGGGGGGGGTCTGACTCAGGTCCTCATGTTTGCAAAGGAAGCACTTTACCAATTGAACTTTCATCACTCCAACCCTGGACTTTTCACAGTTATTCTGCCTTTCTGTGTCTTCATTTTGTCATCTGCACTCCAGAGCTAATCACTGTGTCCTCTCCCCGATATTCTAGTTAAATGAAACTAAAAATAAAGTACCTAGAAGATCATCTGACTAATAAAAGACCTTAATAAATGTATGCCATTGTTGTTAATCCATTCAAGCAATAATACCTACCCATTAACATAGAGAGTATAAAATGCAGCCCTGGCCCTTAAACAATTTGAGAAATGACCTAGAAGGGTAGACAAGAGCTTGGGCTTTGCAAGCAGGCTTCAGTTTGAACCCCAGTTTTGCTATCTGGCAGTTATTATGCTAGTTTGTCTTCAATTGCCATCACAAAACACTGACCACCACCAACTTAGGGAGGAAATGGTATATTTGGTTTATATCTTCCGGATCACAATTAATCAGGGAGTTCAAGGTAGGAGCTCAGGGCAGGAACTTGGAGGCAGGAGCTGAAGCACAGACCATGGAGGTATGCTGCTTACTGGCTTGCTCCCCTGGTCCATGCTCAACCTGCTTTCTCACACATACAGAACAACCTGCCCAGGGTGGCACTACCCACAGTGGACTGGGCTCTCCCACATCACTCAACAATCAAGAAGATGCCCCACAGACATGGCCACAGACCAGTCCAACAGAGGTAAGTCCACAGCTGAGGCTTCCTCAACACAGGTGTGTCAAGTTGACAACTAAAATTATCCAGCACAATCATTTACCATCCAGCCTCAGTATCTCTTCTGTTAAGTGGGCAGGAACCTACACTACTTGTTGAATGTCTACTTTAGGTCAAGTAGTAGGTGCTAAGAACAGAACAGTGAAAGAAACAAGTCTCATCCCTTCAGAAGCACATGTTCTAACAAAGTAGACAGACATGTAAACTAATGTGTATGTCACAGACTGCCACAGAGTGATGTCAAGATGAGACAAAGCCCGGTAGGTTTTAGCATAGTGGAAAGGAATGATGTTACAGTTGCCTCAAATGGTTCTCTCAGGAGGTAAAACATGTGTAGGCACAAATAGAGCTAAGGAGTAAATGCATCAATGACCTGGGAGAATAGTGTTCCAAGGAAAGAAAATAGGGAAAACCCTGAGGCAGGGACATGCTCAACCTGCTGGAGACTGGTGCTGCTACGTGAGCAAGGGTATTCTGGATATGAAGTCAGAAAGTTAACCAAGGGTTTTCTCCCAAGTATGACAAAGGTTGAGAAGCAGGAAACACTAAGATCTCATTAATGTCTGGTTGCTGCAGACATTACAGACATAAGGGCAGAAAGAAGGCAGCTGAGTGGTTAAGAGGCTACATGATGTTGGTAATTCACTTAGAACTGTGCCTGACCCAGTAAATATTCTGTAAGTAGCTTCATAAAGTCACCTGGAGGCTCAACAATAGGAAGAACTTTTTCTGCCTTTCTCTTTAAATTTTTCTAATATTTTACTTTATTTTTTAATTATTTTTATTTTATGTCTATGAGTGTATTGCCTGCATGTATGTAAATGCACCTGTGTTATGAAGTGCCCTCAGAGGACAGAAGAGGGTGTCTAATCCCCTGGAACCGGAGTAACAGATGGTTGTTAGCCACCATGTGGGTGCTGGGATTCAAATCCGGGTCTTCTGCAAGAACAGTCAGTGCTCTTAATCGCTAAGCCATCTCTACAGCCCCAAGATTTTACTTTATTTTTAACTATGTATATGTGTGTCAGTATGAACACATGAGTGCAAGTGTCCAAGGAGGTCAGAAGAGGGTGTCAGATCTCCCTGGAACTGGTGTTACAGGTCCTTTGCGAGAGCACTATGCAATCTTAACCTCTAAGCCATCACACAAGACCCCCTTTTTTATTTAATTTTTCAAAGCCATCTAACCCTTATTTCTTGGTGCTAATGTCACAACCAAATCCTGGAGAGGTCAGTAAAGTCATTGGGCCCACCAATGTAATATCTTAAGAGCAACATTTTCTCCAATGTAGGAAAATCCTAAAGTACTACTATCACCTAAGGTGCCTGTTACAGTCCAGGTCTACAGATGACCCACCCCCAGTGCTGTAAAGCCTCACAAGACAGTCCCTGAAGCCCCCTTGCAAAATAGGAACTGGCCAGACAGCTGCATTTAGAGCTGCCTCAGCACAAAGCTGTTTCCCAGACAATTTTAGAAGATAAACAGGCCTCTGCACCCCAGACCCACCAATGTAAGAGCTGTCAGTGCAAGCTGCTTCCCCCTGATAAGTTTCACAATGTGTAGACCCCCTTAAGGCCCCATGCACCCCAGACACACTGAAATAAGAGCTGTCTCAGTGCAAGCTACTTCCCCCTGATAAGTTTCACAATGCATAGATTCCCTTAAGGCCCCTGCACCCCAGACCCACTGATGTAAGAGACTATCTCAGCAGAAACTGCTTCTCCCTGACAAAATCCAGACCCATCTGCTTGAAATAATTGTTTCCCACCTTCCACACTCTCCAGACCCATCCCCAAAGGCTCCCAGCCAACAGCCTATAAGTGGTTTCTCTAACCTCTAGTTGAGAGCTGTTCTGTGCTTTCTGCCAATAAATTCTATCCTGCCAGAGTTCTTGTCTGTGTCCTGGTACTTTCTTCCAATTGACTTAATTTACCTATCATATGGTGCTGAAACCAAGGACACAATCAATTGGGAATCACACGTAAAAAATGCCAGCTGGACTGGGCACCACTACTGGCCCCCTGCAAACACCATTGATTCAGCTTTAATGTACACTCCAACTCTTCCTCTTCACTCTTGCTTCTCTCTCTCTCTCTCTCTCTCTCTCTCTCTCTCTCTCTCTCTCTCTCTCTCCCTCCTCTCTCCCCCTTACGGTGATTCCCCTGCTTTCTCCCCCTTACTGTGATTCTTTCCCTACCACTCTGGACTATACGTAGCCTTGCTTTCATTTCTCTCCTGCTCCTTTACATCTTTTAATTTCCTTTTCATTTGGATTTGGAGGTCACTCCCAGATCTGACTCAAGGCCACTGGGCAGCACTGGTCTCCGTGACTGTTGAGTATCCAACATGGTTACTGTGTCTGCCTAAGCCCACCTGAGAGGCAGGCCTGCCTTTCCATTACTCTCAAACTTTCTCTTAAGAGTCTCTCAGTCCCGGTGACTAGCTCTCCTAAAGGAGCACAGACCCCTCTCAGCCTGGCAAGGAGTTTCTCAGCTGCCCTTTGCAACTGGAGGCCCTTGAGGCCTTTGCAGCCTACTATTCACGCAGGGAGATAAGGCCTCTTGTCTTGAGGTCATAATGGATCTCTGTGTAAACATTTTGGGCTTTGGCTCCATAGACTAGAGTCTCTCTGTTCTACCCATACTCTCTGGAGCTCCAGAAGGAGGTGAACCCCACAAAGGTACGGACTTCACCTGAAAAGGATTGGTCCTAAGACTAGGAATCAGGAAAGGCAGACTGGAAGTTTCCACTCTTCTTCTTTGGCTCTTACAACCTCTCACTGAGACGTCCCTTTTTTTCTTTCTTTCTTTCTTTCTTTCTTTCTTTCTTTCTCTCTCTCTCTCTTCTTCCTCTCTCTCTCTCTCTCCTCTCCCTCCACCCAAGGCTTCCAGACTGCCCTCTGAACCCTGTCTTGCAAAGCTGCATTCAACACTGATCTCAAGAATAAAATCCAAAACTGACCCATCTCTCTCTCCTCTTGTCTCTCCCATTCGCCATTCTCCACATCGCTCTTCCTATCCCTTTTTGTGTACTTTGTCTCCCTCTACTGGCTGGTGGTGCCACGCTCTCACTGCGGGGCTTTCCACTCGTAATGCTTGTATTGTAAAATCACACTAGTGTGTTGGAAAACTCTTGCCTTCTCTGATTACAGGATACTGTCTTCAGGGATAGGAACATGCCTGCCTTCCTGTCCAGGACAGGAACTTGCTCTTTCCCTCAACTGCAGGACGCTGCCTCCAGGGACAGGAAATTAAACTCATTCTCAGGCCTTTCACAGGTAAGGGATGCCTTTCTAGGTTGGTTTTGCATGTTCTCATTTGGCACAAACTGTGGCCTATGCCTCTTTTCCTCTTCCTCCCTTCCTCCTTTTTCTTTCTTTTATCCTGCACTTCCCTGCCCGGGATCTTGGCTGTCATCCCTGCCTCCACTCCCTGTGGAGAAAGGGTCCTCATTGTCTCTTCCTACACACTTGCCCAGTTCCTTCTCTATATCCTCTGCATTCTATACATAATCTGTCACTATGGGGATCGCTCAATCCAAGCCTGAGGGCCTTGTGCCTCTTGCTTGTCTTCTTAAGTCCCTAAAACAACTAGGACTTCCAGATACAATCAGGCCAAAGGCTTTAAAGTTCCTGTGCACCACTGCCTGGCCCTAGTACAAGTTAGACAGTGACTCTGTTTGGCCAGACACTAGAACGTTAGACTTCAATATTTTGAGAGATTTAGATAATTTCTGCCAATGTAGCAGCAAAAGGTCTGAGCTCCCTTACGTCTAAGCTTTTTTGATCTTCATGCTAATCCCTTCCTCTGTGCCTCTTGTTCCTCCCATCAAGTTCTGTTTGCCAAGACTGTTCCACGGGATCCCAACCTGTCGACTCCTACCCCCACGGAACCCTCTGCTCCCCGTATCTACCCCTCTACTTCGGCCTTTGATGCCAACATAGCTGA